AAATTCTTTGATTGTCATCCTGTGGAAATTCCCTGAGATCCATGCACACACCTGCTGAGAGATCCAGGGGGATATGTAGGGGGGAGCTCTTCCTTGATGTCCACTCTCATCCTCTGTGCTGGATGTTGTGCAGAGGCTCCATGAATGGGATTTCACTGAGGGGGAGTGGTGCAATTATTAAGGAGTTGTGACATGTTTAATTATTATAGTGAATGCCCTGGTCCCAGGAGAACTAGTTAGATGGACTGTTTGTTCTTAGCACTGCCCTTGATAGATTATTCTGAGCATGAAATTTTGTTTGTTTGTTTGTTTTAGCCAAAGTCCAGCTGTTCATCTTCATTCACCATTTTCAGTGATGTGTGCCTCTTGCCTGTTTATTATTCTAGCTGTACAAAGCTAAAGAATCGTCCGTTAAAATATCATGTGACATTTTATGTCCTAAATTAAGCTCCTATTAGAGTTGGGCTTAATCATAGATTCTGAGGTTAGGAAAAGTAGAAAGTACAGGTTGTAGGACATGTTGAAGAGAATTTAAGATGTTCTCTCCTCTGAGCTTCTGGGAGCACACATTCTCCTGGGTTTTGTCCAACTTTATTCTCAGCTTCATTCCCTGTTGCTCTCTCTTCTCTGCTTTATCCCTGTTCTGGTTATCTATTTCTGGAAAGTAATCTCACCATGTTGTGAGTCAGGAACTAGGGCATGGCTCAGCACGGTGATTCTTCTGTTCCAAGTGACACTGATGGAAGTCACTCAGTGGTATTCAGTTGACAGACGGGCTGGTCTGTCTGGTTCACGCTGGTCTGGTACCTTACAAGGATGGCTGGAAGGTGAGCTCATCTGGTCCTATGAGCTGGAGCACCTCCACGTGGCTTTGCAGCATGGAAGCCTCAATTGGACTTCATACATGGCAGCTCAGGGCTGCCAGAGCGAGTGTTCCAGCAAACCAGGTGGCCTTTTATGAGCTAGTCTCGGATGTCAAATGGTGTTTCTTCTGCCATATTCTATTGGTTGAAGCAGTTACAAGCCCACTCAGGTTCAGGAGGAGAGGACACAGACCCCATCCTCAATGGGATAGATGGAGAAGAATTTGTGGCCCTGTCTGAACATATGTTGAAATTTTTGTAGGCCTTGATCCTGAGCCCTCTGCTCCATGTACACGCTTACCCGGGGCAATGGCGTTTAGACTTGTGGCTTTAAATAACATCGCTATGCTGGTGACTCCCAAATATATATCTCTAGCCCAGACCATTCTCCAAGTTCCAGATTCATATGTTCAACCAACTACTGGATATTCCCACCTGATTCATAGACACCTCAAATTTAATATGGTCAAACAGCTCTTGATTTATGCTCTGCAGACTAGTTCCATCCCCAGTTTTCCCCATCTCAGAAAATACCACAGCATCCACTCAGTAAGTCAAGCATTTCATCCCTCTCCTTCCTTCAGCTATGCATTCAGTGCGTAAGCAAGTCTTGGCAACTCTCTCACTCCAACTATAACTCAAAGCCGCCTGTTTCTCTCCATCTATCTCCAAGTCCATGCTGCCATCATCTCTCCCTCGGACTTACTAAAATAGCTCTTGGAGTGATTTTCCAACTTCGCCATCTACACCCCTCTCCAATCCATTCTCCATAGCTACCAGTGATCTTTCAAGTGTAAATCAGATCACACAGGGCTCCACATTAAACCCTCAGTAGGGTTCTGTTGCTCTTTGAAGAAAATCTAAGCTCCTTGCCGTGGCCTACAAGGCCTTAGGTGACCTGGCCCCTACCCGCTCCTCCAAGCTCACGTCTGATCACTGTCCTCTCCATTCCAACCACAGGCCTCTTTCTGCTCTTATCTTACCTTAGGGCCTTTGCACTTTCTGTTGCCTCTGCCTGGACAGACCTTCCAGCAATTCCAATAACTAGTTCATTCTTCTCCTTCAAAATTCAGTCCACAAAATTCAGACCACCTGTTTGAAATACTGTCCAGCTCACACCATCTCTTGGCCCATTTATTTCCTTCTTAGGAAAAATCACAGTCTGTAATCATCTCGTTTGTTATCTATCGTTGTCTCTCTTCCCTTCCAGAATGTAAGTGCCATGAAGGCTAGGGACCACGTCTGTTCTGTTCATCACTGTCCCCATTGCCTACCTAGGGACTGATATGTAAAATACCAGTTGGAGATCTCAATAAAGGCTGGGCTGGGCCGGCCCCATGGCTTAGCGGTTAAGTGCGCGCGCTCTGCTACTGGCGGCCCGGGTTCGGATCCCGGGCGCGCACCAACGCACTGCTTCTCTCGCCATGCTGAGGCCGCGTCCCACATACAGCAACTAGAAGGATGTGCAACTGTGACATACAACTATCTACTGGGGCTTTGGGGAAAAAAAAAAAGGAGGAGGATTGGCAATAGATGTTAGCTCAGAGCCGGTCTTCCTCAGCAAAAAGAGGAGGATTGGCATGGATGTTAGCTCAGGGCTGATCTTCCTCACACACAAAAATAAATAAATAAATAAGTAAATAAAAGAAATGCCCCACCAAAAAAAAAAAAAAAAAAACAAAAAAACGCTGGGCTTATGCAGGTGGGCAATACCAGAGAGAGAAGTGATTCACATGTAAGAGACCAGTCAAGAAATTCTGGTTAAGAATTTCCCATTTGTAGGGGTCAGCCCGGTGGCACAGCAGTTAAGGTCACACGTTCCGGGGTTCGCCGGTTTGGATCCTGGGCACGGACCTACTCATGGCTCATCAAGCCATGCTGGGGCGGCATCCCACATAGAAGAACTAGAGGGACCTACAACTAGGATATACAACTATGTACTGGGGGGTTTGGGGAGAAAAAGGAGAAAAAAAAGAAAAAAAAGTCAAAATATATAAAGAATTTTCTATTTGTAGATGTACTTTGTGCCTTGCAAAGGGCTGTAAATCTGTTTTTTTTCTTCCTCTGACTGATGTCAAGTAGAAAATGATGGGTGAGTTAGTTAATACAAAACGCTCATACAAAAGTCTAATACAATTGTTTACACACTCTTACCCCCTCAGGACAATTCTAAGGTCACACTGAAACCTGCTGTGGTTTCTCATGGCCTCAGCCAGAAAGAGGTCCTGAGATAGACAGAGCACCAGAACACCTCTCAAAAGGTTGGAAAGATTCTGCAGCCATCAAAAGAGCTCATATTCTGTTTTAAATCCAGAAAGTTAGAAAGTTTTTTCTAATTTTTCTTGTGGAATGTAACCCATCCTCTCATGTGGTGGTCTTCATACACTGTACTGGTGTGGTTTCACGGTTACATGAGGAGGTGAACATGGAAAAGCTGACAGAATAAAAAAGACTGAATGGATTCTCCCCTGTTCTTTATTTTTCATTTTTTCAAAATTAGCTTGTGTGTTTACATAAGGAGGGGAAATCTTGTGTTAAGAGAGAGGTCTTAAAACTGCAGCCAGTAAAAGACAAAAAAACCTATACATATACTGTTCAGGGCTTTTTTTCTGACGACAATTGCTAAAAAACCAAATATTTCTCTGCCTGATGTCTTAGAGCTAGGTCAAAGGTTGTTATGTTTCCAGTATAAATAGAAAGCTTTCTGGAGTGGGTGATCTGGCCGTAATGTCATGGTTACTGTTAAGAGTGCAGGGACGGAACATCCCTTTTTCTCTCCAGCTTATTGGAGGAGGGGTGGACAAATGTCAAGATGACCACTTTTGTGCAGGACCTAGAAAATAGTCAACACTTACTACTTATTAGCACTTATTACTGATTCAAGAGGATTATTGAGATATGTTCTGCTCTTCATGAAGTTCACATAAACCAGAATAAAACTGAACCAAAACTTGAGACATTTTCATCTGGAGCACATTATTCTATAATAGTGGGACTTCATCTATCTGACTTTTGTGAGGAAAAATTATTCTGTAGAAGTGACTTTTCCATATAACTGGAAATGTTCAAAAATGCTTTTGAAGGTCATTTTTGATGCAAATATTCCTACATGTATGACACATTTTCCTTCTTTCTGAAGTGGGGCACTGCTTCTCAGAGTTGGCTGGTTCCAGAGTGTGGCCTGGGCACCAGGAGTTTTAAATGCTCCCAGGTGGTTTGAGTGGTGGCGAGGTGGAGGACCACTGACACACAGTGACTGTGAATAGAGTCACGATCTAGGACAGCATTTGTCTACGCTCCTGAGGATACGTGGCGTTCGAGGCCAAAACAGCCTGATGATGACTGACCCCAGGAGGGGTGGCCCGTATTGTAAGACAGTGACCGTGACCATGACCCCGCTGGGGTGGGGACTGGTCTGTGAGGATTCAGGACCAGGCTCTGTGCTGTGTATTTGCCATTGAGTGTGCCTGCTCTTCAAGCCTTGCTATCTGAGGTTTTTCAACATTCAAGGACCCTCTGATGAGCAATCAGAGGACTGTTTGTGGTAAATAAATGCTGGTCCATGTATTTTAAAGGCAAGTCATCTTTTTATAACTGGCCATCAGGTGAAGCTGGAAGTATTGATAAGATGGCAGCTCAAGACAGTAGAAGACCATTCTGATGCCTATTTTTGTTATAGGGAAGTTTATAGCATGAGAAAGAAGTAAAAAAAAATAAATCGACATCTCCAGCTGATGTTCCAAGTGAGTACTAGTGTCTTCAAAGATGTTTGTGCAAATCTACCCAAAGAAACTCTCCTGAGTTCCATGACCTCAGTGAAGCACAGATTGTTAGAGCAGGAAGGACCTTCTCACTTTCAGGATACCTTTTACGTACTTATTTCAGTAAAAAAAGACAGAAGACATTCACATGGTGGACTAATGCTGTATCATAAAAATGGTGTGTCTTCAGTTACAAGATGCTCTAAGTTATATATACATTTTAGAAAACTTATGTACAGGTAAATAATTTAAAAGTGATTGTAAGTAATGTTCGTGGTCTTTCCTATAAAGAGTTGGCCATTGTGTCCAAATATAACACAAATCTACGGGAAAGTTAGATGCATTTCATCCTCATAGTGGCTCTGGCACATTTCCAGGGCGCTAAGACACTGGGGGGTGGGGGCTGGGTGCATCCACTCCTCACGTAACCACATGACCACACTGAAGGTGGTTTGGGGTTGCAAACTATAGTTGGGGCAATTTTTGTAGAGAGGACTGGTCCTGGACCCACTGCGAGAGACCTCAGATTAGAGAACAGTGACCTCCTTTGTAGGCCCCAGACAAAGGCCCTCTTTCTTTATGGCCAGTCAGTCCTCTTAATGAAGGAGAACACAGCAATTGCGTATTCACTATGACTCAAAAAAGAGAACTAATTTTGCACATTCAGATATGTCAGGCACTTAAAAAACTCCTTTTCAAACTGATCTAAAAATGATTGCCCTCTAATATTTTGGGATCTCTTCAGGAAAAAAAAAGCTTAAATTTTATTCCATAAAAATTATAGTCAAATTTCCCTGCACAGAGTGCCCTAATTCTGGGACTTGCCTAGAATCAGGAAAGCAAACGTCTTCAAGACTGGCCTTGAAAAGCCTGCCTCTTTGATGACAAGGAGGCCGCATGATACGACCTCCGGAGGAGGCAGAGGGGAGAAGGGGCCGTTTCAGGGGTGGGGTGTGGGATCTCCGGAGGGTGTCTTCTTCCTCCACACCTTCCTGATTCTTCTTTATAGACTCAGGAGGATGATGGGCCGAGTACTTCTGGATGAAATATTTTAAAAAGCAGCTGAGGAGGCTCTAGCTGTAAATCGTAGCTGTAGAACAGTGAGCTGCTGACAGCGGTTCTCAGGCCATGGGGGCTGTCCCTCCCCTCCTGAGGCAGCGCATGATGAAAGTCCCCAGGGCCATCAAGGGGATCCACATGATGGAGGAGGCCACGAGTAGCCCAATGACGGCCAGTGCATGCGTGGGGTAATTCTTGGACACAAGCTGGCCCTGAAAGGAGAAGCTGAGTGTCAGCAGAGAACCTCCCCAAGCAGAACCTTCTGAGAGCACAGCGCCCTCCAGGCCCCAGGCCCCTGGCTTGGCGGAGAGGCCGTGTGCGGTGGGAAGACAGCATATGGGGCTGGGCATCCTTACACCGGGGGCCGCCTGGCTCTGCAGTTCACTGGTCTATGCTGGGTAGACTAATGCCCCCTTGTCTTCTTTCTCTTCCATAAACGTCAACCAGTGTGCGTAGAGCCACTATTCGGAGGTCCCCATAAAGAGTAACCACAAGAATAATCCAGAGCCTTATGTGTGAGGCACCATTCAGGGCACCTAAATGCAGGGGCTAACCTTAGCCCACACTATCCAACAGAACTCTTGGAGGATAGAAATGTGCCATGTTGGTGCTGTCCAATATGGCAGCCACCAGACACAGGTGGCTATTGAGCACTAGAAATGTGGCCATTGAGACTGAAGAACTGAATTTTAAATTTTATGTAACTTGAATGAATTTAAATTTAAATAGCCATCTGTGGCTGTTGGCTACCATATGGAGCAGCACAGCTCTAGTCTCAGGAGAGTCTTGATGGACCTCTGGACTTAGTTGGGAAAACGGATGTTTCCCTAAATGAAAATACATCAAAACTGATGAGAAATGAGGCCAAAACGCCAATAAATGCCACCTTTCCATAAGGGAACCATGGGACAGCTATGTCCAGGGGAGTAGATGTTTGCTGTCAACCAAATGTGGTTTGTAAATCAAAACGCCACTGAAAGTGTGGTGCGGGATCCAGCCCACAAACTTTTTTTTTACATGTCTGTTACTCTTTTTGTTCTGTACTGACAAGTACAGAAACTGGGAGGAAACATTTAAAAAACCGTTTTAGGGGGCCGGCCCGGTGGCGCAAGCGGTTAAGTGCGCGCGCTCCGCTGCGGCGGCCTGGGGTTCGCTGGTTCGGATCCCGGGCGCGCACTGACGCACTTCTTGGCAAGCCATGCTGTGGTGGCGTCCCATATAAAGTGGAGGAAGATGGGCACAGATGTTAGCCCAGGGCCCGTCTTCCTCAGCAAAAAAAGAGGAGGATTGGCGGATGTTAGCACAGGGCTGATCGCCTCACAAAAAAAAAAAAACCGTTTTAGCAATTTGACAGCGTACTGTTGTGTCTGTTGAATGTAATAAATAATTGGTGCTTGTATTTTGTATATCTTTTTGCATTTAATTTTTCAAGTAATTCATTGTTGTTGCATTTTACAAGAGCATCAGTCTCTATGGATTAGAGAAAACACCCAGGTCCTCCACAGTTTGAGATGCCCCACTCGACACCACTGCTGGAACTGGATGGGGGGGCGCCTCTTCCACCTCCACAGGTCACGTGCTTGCGTGGAGTGGTGTGAGCTGGTGCTCTGGGTCCTTCACACCCCTCTCTCTACACACACACACACACACACACACACACACACACACTATATGCTAAAGGACAGTGTTTTCTACCCACAGGAAAAGAAGTCCAAATTGGCCAGTAATATTACTGTCCTCAAAAAGTAGATTTTCTCTACAACAGTGTGTCTGTGTCTGGACAGCCAGAGTTGACCCTCAGGCTGAATGCACCGATGCGGCTGTCCTGGTTGTTAACATACTGACACACTGCCCTTCTGGTTGGTGAACAGCCGCAGCCCAGTGCCGTGAGTGAGCCCCTTCCGTCTCAGCCTCACCCAGAGCCAGACCCTCCCAAGATCCAGCAACTCAAGTGTTAACCCAAGTCCCCTGCTCCACTCAGGCTCCTGGAGGGTCCCAGCCAGGGGTCAGGGGTCTGGGCTGGGGCCAGGGCCATGCCCTCCAGGCTTGCTTGTCCTTTCCTAAAGAGGCCTAAGTGGAAGGAGGTCAGGGGCCTGCTGGCTGAGGAGAAGTGCACTGCCTGTGAGGTGGGAACCAGCGCCTTAGCGCTGTAGGAAACCTGACTCTCTTTCCTGCAGCACATGTGGAAAGACTCCAAGCCCAGCCCTGCTGTCTTGGGTTGAGTGTTTTCAAAAACCTGGGTGATGTTTCCATCTTGTGACACACAACCTGCCCACTCCATGGAGACAGTTTGTTCCTTGGTTTCAGAAAACTAAAGGCTTGTGCTCTCGAGTGAGCTAGGGGGCCCCGAGACAGCAGGTACCTGGGAGGCGTCCCAGGCTTGGTACTGCAGGGTCCCCGTGAGGATGTAGTCACTCAGGTAGAAGACAAAGAGGCTGATGATGAGCAGGGGGCTCACACCGGCCCACATGGCCTTCCAGTACCAGTTCAGAGTGCGGCCAGTCATAGACGCAAGGTCACTTTCAAATCTATTTGGAAAGCAGGGAGAGAAAGTCTGGATTATCCATGTTGTCAGGGTGAGGGGGTCTAGCTTGCACATCCTTCTTTGCTTAGAAAGGTTCTGTTCTGGGCACCACTGATGTTTGAACATGACCACTGGGCCCTCCCTGATTCCTTCTGGGGAGAGGGGTGTTGGGCATGGGGAGGGGAGAAGGGCTGGGGCTGCCACAGAGCGGGGACAAAGCAACCACCCCACAGATAAGTGGACCCCAGAAGACGTCTTCCTCGTGCTGGCCTTCAGATGAAGGCTGCTAGTGTAGACCAGAGGGCAGCTCCCACGGGCGGCGGCAACAGAAAGCGTGGTGGGACATCTGTCAGCCAGTCAACACCGGGGGACGCCAAGGGCAACTCTGCCCCACCCCTCCCACCCTGCTGTCTATCAGTGACTCTACTGCCCATTAGAAACGCCCCCAGGGGGGAATCTCTTTTGTCCCCTGAAACCAGAGCAGGTTTTCTGGGGCAGAGGGCGAGCCAGACCTGGGACTGGAGGTGCCTTGGCCATGGCCCGTGGGAGCTGGCATGGAGAGAAGCCAGAGCAGAGCTTCCCAAATGGAGCTGCTGCCCGCAGACCACCATTGTGATCTCCATCAAGTCTGCAAACTGTCTCTTTTTTCTTTTCTTTAAATTGACTCTTTTACCTAAATCTAGCCATAGCACAACAGCATCCATTTTACCATGGATTTGATAAGCCAACCACATATTTTTCTAACACACACACAAATAAGTCTGGAAAGTATCTTCAGCACTTGGGGAAATGCTGACCCAGCTACCTCCCCATTTTACAGGGAAAGGGACCGAGGCCTGGGCCTGTGATGTGACTTGCCTGAGGGTACCCAGCTAGTGGCAGACCCAGGCCCAGAACCCGGATTGGTGTCCTACCTCCAGTCCACAGACTTCAAAAGTTCTCCCCATGGCAGGAGAGGCAGCCATGGAGGAGGGGCGGAGATGGGGCAGGGTGGGACCCTCACCAGCTGCAACCACAGCCACCCGCCTCACTTGGACCTGTGGTATGTCCTGAGTTCCCACGTAAGACTGTAGAGACCACTACCTGCCCCCATGCTGCCACTGACCTAGCCAGTCCCTAGGCTCTAGGCCAAGAAGACTCATGTGCATAACATGAACACCTGGAATTTTCAGGACTACACATGGCAGAATGTGCTGGGGTTCTCCTGTCTCTTCACATCCCCTGCATATCCCTTTCCTGGATACAGGAGGGTGGGAAGAGCTGGCTGCAGGAAAAAAAGGCAGCATGGCATTGTCACTAGGTGGTCACTAGACGGCGCTGTCCCCTGAGCAAGCAGAGGGACTCCCTTCTGGTCATTCTGGCTCAGTCTGCTCACAAAATCCCCAGAGCACCTTCTGTGTATCCCTCCCTCGCCACCACTTACCACCACCCCGTTTGGGTGGACTTGTGCCCCTTCTCCAGCGCCTCCAGGGGGCCTGAGGTTCTGTTCCTCTCTCCCCAACCTTCTCTCTTTACCCTGAAACACCCACCCTCTCAGGTGACCAATCTCTTTCTCCCTCTAGAGAGGCATTTCCGAGCTGACCCATCTGTCCCAGGTTACCCGAGACTCTCCCGGGTTTAACACTGCAAGTCCCACATCCAAGGAAACCCTTCGGTCCCAGGAAAACAGGGAGAGTCAGTCACTCTAAGACCAATGTCCTCACAATGCTAGTGGCTGTTTTGGGGGAGGGCCGAGGAGGATCAAAGCCATGATCACAAAAATTTTGGAAATACTGCAAATTATAACCCGTCTTTGAGATTCACAATTGTCTTCAAGGCACTGAGAAGTCCTCCTGGGGAGAAACTCCGGCTTTGTTCAGTTTGCTATGTCCTGAAATTATTTGCCCGTGGAAGGCCCTCAGCACGGCACGGGACCCTAGTGCTTCCAGGGACAAGGGGGAATACCGCTCAAGGAGCCTGGCTCCTAGGGTTTTCCCCCTTCCCCCCCAAGTTTGGAGGATCAGAAAGACTGGGGAGGAGAGGGGGGGACAACGAATTGGCACATCCTTCTAATCGGGCTCACATTTGAGCAGTGGTTCCCGTAGTGTAATGTGCCTCAGCCCCCGAACACGTTAAAGTGCAGGATCTGATTCAGCGGGGCTGGGGGCCCAGGACCCTGCATTTCTAACAAGCTCCCCCATGAAGCTGGTGCTGCTACTCTGGGGCCACCCTCAGAGCAGCAGAGCTCTCTAGACCAGTGGCCCCCAGAGGACTCCCCTGGGAACCTGTTAGCAATGTGAATTCTTGCCCCCCATCCCACCCCAGACCTCCTTGGTGGTGCGGCCCGGTGGTCAGTGTGTGAAGCAGCCCCCAAGTGGTTCTGCTGCACAAAAGCTGCTCTAGACCAGCGGTTCTCAGCCCAGCCACACATTTGTCACCCGGGGAGGTTTAAAACGTTCCAGCGCTGCACTGTGCACCAGGATGAGAACCTGACATCCTGAACTTGCCAGATTTTCTAAGGCATGTGAGTTATCAACTGGACTGCGGTCAGCGTGCTTAAAAAACACTGATGTTGGCCCATGATCAGAGTGTCTAGTGCTCGGAGGCACGATTCCCTGCCCCAATCAGCCGCCGGGGTCCAGCAGGGTCAAGAGGCAAATATCCTACAATAACAAGTAAAAATATAGGAAACGAAGAGAGAAGATACTGGTTGAAGGGAAACTGAGGGTGGAAATGAGGCAGAGAGTTAGCTGGGATCTGGGGGCAAGAAACGATGCCAAGTTAAAGAAAAAGTGAAGTGCACACTGAGAAACGGTAGTTTTTCTTGTGGGCTGTGGCCTTCGTGGTGTAGCTGTCGGGGTGGGGCCTCACCTCCTCAGCCCATACAGGTAACACACGGCGACCGTCTCCACCAGGACGATGAGCAGCAGGGACAGCGTGGCAGCATAGTCGTTGAAGATGTCGAACCAGTAGTTGCCGGCCTCCGTGGTGAACACCATGCCGATGGCGCAGCTGCTGAGGCACACCAGACCTGGGCCACAAGACCGCCTGCTCGACCGCCTGCTCACCCGCCTGAGCACCCCCGCCTGTTCACCCAGTCTTCCACGGGGCAGCAGAGCCACGGGCCCCAAGGGGACTCTGGCCAACTGTTTCATCCACGTGGGTAGAAGAGCTGGCACGGATGGCCTCTCTGCATGTGTGTGCCACATGTGTCTGTGTTGGAGGGAAGGTGTCCCAAGGAGTGTCAGCAGGAGTGACTGATGCTAATTCACAGAGCTGTCCTGCAGGGGGCACCAAGCTCAATGGAAAACAGAAAGTGTGGGCATTGCTGTCCCAGGGGGATCTCACCAGGCTGTGGGGCTGGTGATGCTGTTTATCCAACAACTCAGCCCCTGAGCTCATGGGAGCTGAATGGGGGGAGGAGGCTTGAGCTGCGGGCACCCCTCTCAGGACTTGCTAGAGAGGGCTCTTGTCTGAGCAGAAGAGGGAGCAGGGAGGGGAGGGGAAAAAACGATGTTTCTCCAGCTCCTGCTGTGCCCCAGGCACTTGCCATGCATTGGATCCTTAAGCCTCTGAGGCAAGTATCAGAAGGCGCCTTTTACAGATGGGGAAGCCAAGGCTCAGAGATGTTGAGTAACTTTCCCAACGTCCCACAGCATGTAAGTGGAAGAGTTGGGATTCAGACACAGGTCCCTCTGCCTCCAGAACCTGGGTTTTTGCCCCAGTCTCCTTCGGCTGCCCCTCTTGGGCACCCCAGAAAGTATTTGTCTCTAAGCTCCCACCTGCCCTTTCCACTGCCACACCCTATACCACCTGCCACTGAGCCCCACCGCCATCCCGAGGGGGACACACGAGGAGAATTAGTTACGTGCTGGCTGGGAGCTAAAGGCCCACATAATGCTGGCTATCAAGAGCAGGTGCAAGGTGGGATGCTAAGAGCTAGGGGGCTCTGACAGAGGGTGGGCAGCTCCAACCGGGAGGTCAGGGCTTCAAGGAGCTGGCATAAGAGCTGGGTTTGATTCAGGCTGGGAGGAGGGACGTCCTGGATGTGGTGGAATGGCGTCATCAAAGGGGGGTGGGTGGCCATATGGTCCTCCGGACACCGCCACGTTGGAGTGGCACACATGGGTGGCAGAGTGAAACAGGAGAGTTATGATCGGAAAAACAGGTTCCTTCCCTAACAACCCGAATGTCCACCGCCAGCAGAATGGGTAGATGAGCTGCGGCGTGTGGTCCTACGATAGATTCTCACACAGGCGAGGAAGCACAGACAGTTGCTACTTGCAACAATGTGGGTGGATCTCACAGACAGTTTGAGTGAAGACAACAGACACAAAGACTACAGACTGTGTGCTTTCATTTATGTGAAGTTCAAGAACAGGAAAAACAAACCTACAGTGGTGGCAGTCAGAATGTGGTGACTTCTGGGGGTGGGGTGCGCTGACTGGGAGGGGTGAGAAGGGCTCTCTGTGGAAACGCTCTGTGTCTTGACCAGGCGGTGGTTACTTGGTGGATACGTATGTAAAATTCATTGAGTTTGTGCTTAAGAAATGTGCATGTTATAATTGTTATACTTCAATGAAAACAAAGACAAAAGGTTTCTCTCCTAGCCTGGCAAGCTGTGAGTGCCAGGCTGGGGAGTCTGGCCTCTACCCAAGGGGTGGGTGGCCACTTCACTTCCCCATGATGTGGAAAACCAGATGCATGGGGTGCACCACACGTACCAGGTCCCAGATGGCCTGGGACAAGGAGAAAGCCACGGCAGGACCGCCATGAGGGGCCACAGCCTCAGGGGGCCACCTCGACCAGCACACGGCCTCTGAGGCAGCTCATCCGCCTGCTTTCCCCACATCCCAGTGCGGGCTGGCCCACTCACCTGAGATGGCCTCCTTGGGCAGGTGCCTGGAAATGAGCTTGCTGTCGGTGAGAGGGGTGAGGATGGCGGCCGTGTTGCCCAGCATGCTCCCCATGCCCAGCATCAGCAGCATGAAGAAGTAGAGCACTGACCACAGCTGGGACACCTCCATGTTTTTAATGGCCTCACTGTAGACGATGAAAGCCAGGCCAGTGCCCTGGACTGCCTGTCCACGTGAGAGACACCAGTTACACACCCCGGGGACTTGTGACTCCTTAACACACCCAGTGCTAAGCAACTTGGGGGACCTTGGAATGGGCCATGAGAAGCCACCTTCTGAGGTTGGATCTTCCATCCGCAGACCAGCCCTGCAGGCTTAGCTGGGCTGGACAGAAATGTGAGTCGTCAGGAGTTCCTATCTGCAAAGTGTGAAGAGACATTTCTGTCAACTTGGAACACCGAGTTCCCCTCTCCTGCCCCAACTCACACAAATTCTGGATAAAATATAATAAAACAATGCTTGGATAATTTCTGCTTCTAATATTATGACTGCCTAGGTGTTCTGAGGTCTCAGTGGCTGGGAGCTGAGGTGGGATGGTGGAGCCAGAGCCACAGAAGCCAGATGGTAGGGGGCTGGCCTGGCCAGAAGCCACCAGGAGGGTCAGGGTTGCTCAGATCCCTGCGGTGATAACACTGCTTTAGGGATACTGAGCTGTGGAAACAGAGCCTGGAACTCCTGCTTAAAGACAAATCCCCTGAAGGGGTTGAGAGGGGTCATGGTGGGGGGGCCTTCTGGCTACCAGCAGCAAAAGACCAGAAGCCCTCCATTTAGACCCACAGAACCACCAGAATGATCAAGCAGTGAGCTTGCAAACAGAGATTTATAAACCCACAAGAAGACAAGCCAGCACAAGTGAAAAGTCAGCAAGAATAAGAAATAAGATTTAGAACACCCTTCCCCAGGAGTGGCAGATGTTGGACTGTCGGATTCCAAATATAGGTCAGCTCAATGGTACACCAACAGGGACAGTGGGGTGCGTCAGCCCTGGGTACAGACCATAAGAGGGTGATCATTTGTAGAGAATTTAAAACAAGGACAAAATCTACTAAAGTTGGTCTGCCTTTTCTCATTATCACGAGCCAACAATTCTGAACAGTGTCAGCGATAAAACACTCCTCCCCTCGAGGGCACACTGCTCTCACCCTCCTGTCAACGGCCACCATTGGAATAGCCACCCAGGACGTGTTTAAAGAAACAACAGATAAAATTACAGAGATAAACAGATAACAAGAAACTATTGGAATGAACAGTAAATTTGGGAAAAACATAGTATCTAAAAAATTGTTGAATTAAAAGGCTCAATTGACAGTTAAATACCACTTGCAGCTTAAGAGAGAATTAGTGAACTGGGAGATATATCCCAGGAATGAATCCATTAAAGCTGGGAAAAAAAAAAAAAAAAAAAGATGGGGAAAAAGAAAATACAAATTAAGAGACATGTAGGGTAGGATGAGAAGGTCTAAATGAAATTCTAAAAGGAGAAAACAGAGAGAAGGAGAAACAATGAATAAGAGATAGTAGGCATGAATTTTCTAAAACTGATGAGAAACATGGACCCATAGATCCTGGAAGCCCAACCTCATCCAAGCCTAGACGGGATGAATAAAGATATACCCATGCAGAGGCCCAAGACAAAGGGAAGATGAAGAGAGAAGTCAGAGAGAGAGAGAGCTGGGGCACTGGGGGCTTACAAAGAGTGAAGCGATATTTCAACAGCAACAAGGGAAGCCAGGATCACAAGGCAAATATCTTTAAAATGTTGAGAGAAAATAACTGTAAATCTGGAATTTTCTACTCAGGGGAAAACTGTCTTTAAAAAGTGAGGGCTAAACATAGCCATCTACATACAAACAAAACCTGAGAAAAATTATTATCAAGAAACCTGCTGTAAATGATGCATTTTAAGGGAGGGGAAAAAAACCCAGAAGACAGCTGGGATGCAAGAAAGAATGATGAACACAACAAATGACACACGTGCAGGTGAATACAGACACTGTCGTATGAAATAACAGCATCCAATCTCCGGGTTTAAAAGACAGAACTGAGCAAAAATGGAATTTACAGCAGGAAGAATGAGATGAGTGTGTTCTAAAGTCCTTGTACTGTTTGGAAGGGAAGTCAAGATATTGTTTAACTTTAGACTTTGTTAAACATGCATAGGAAAATTTCAAGAAGAGAAATAGACTATGCAAATTCCAAACAGTAGAGAGTAAAGTGGAGGGAAAAAATAAAGAACAAACACAATAGGAAAAAAAGTCAAAATAAATCAAGGACCACACAATTCTTTGACATTGAGCCAAGCTCAAAAGTAAGCAAGGAGGGCCAGCCCCTGGTGGCCTAGTGGTTAAGTTCAGGACGCTCCTCTTTGGCGGCCTGGGTTCGGTTCCCGGGTGCGGACCTACACCACTTGTCTGTCAGTGGCCATGTTGTGGTGGCAGCTCACATACAAAAAGAGGAAGATTGGCAGTGGATGTTAGCTCATAGCCAATCTTCCTCAGCGGAAAAAAAAAAAAGTAAGCAAGAAAAATTCCCAGGTGCCAAAGACAGAAAGGAAATTTGAAATGAGAGCACTGAACAGGAGCCAAAGCCAAAGGCCTCATGGGTCATCTGAATGGGATCTAGGCCTTGAAGGCTGGGGGCTGGGGATAGGGATCTGAGGCCTGTCAGGGAGGGAGGGTCATGCCACAGGCCAGGTGAGTAGGGGGCCGGGGAAACAGTGTTGCCTCATCCATGAGATGACCTAGAATGGCTCTGCCCATGAAACAAGGTGCCAAAAACCCTCCAAGGAAGCTTGCTGGCAACCAGAGCTACAGCCTTCGCTACTCTCTCTTCTTGAAAAGTGATCTCTAGAGTCACTCTCTAGAAGTATTTACATTAAACATAAGAATTAGACCAATATGCCCACTCTCATTTCCATTTCCATTGTGCTGGAAGTCCTAGAAAATATTGTAAGAAAAAGGAATGAGACACAAGGATTGAAAAGAAAAATGTAAAATTATATCTGCAGGTGATATGAGTTTACATAGAAAACTGAAGCAAATATATAGACAAATATGAGAATTAATGAGAATTTATCAAAGTTGCTAGATCTACGATCAACACACAAAAATCTTTAGTTTTCTTTTGCAACAAAAATAAACACTGATAGGGGCCGGCCCAGTGGCACAAGCGGTTAGGTGCAGACGCTCTGCTGCGGCGGCCTGGGGTTCGCCAGTTTGGATCCCGGGCACACACCAACGCACCGCTTGTTAAGCCATGCTGTGGCAGCGTCCCATATAAAGTAGAATATGGGCACGGATGTTAGCCCAGGGCCAGTCTTCCTCAGCAAAAAAAGAGGAGGATTGGCATCGGATGTTAGCTCAGGGCTGGTCTTCTTCACACACACACAAAAAAAGCTGATAGAAATAGGAAAAACAAGACACCACTCACAATGCAACAAAACAGTAAGGTAACTAGATATAAAGCTGATGAAAGATGGGCCAAGATATTCACGGAGAAAGTTAGTTGAAGAATTATATAAATGAAGATCTGAGTGAACGATGAAATAAAGCATGTTCCTGAATCAAAAGTCACAATTCAAAAGATATTAATTGTCCCCAAATTATGAAATTATAAAATCAATGCAATTCTAATAAAATTGACAAATTACACAAATTATAAAATCAACGCAATTCTAATAAAAATTCCTAAAGGGATTTTTTCCCCCATGGAACTTATTAAACTGATCCTAAAATTAATGTGAAAAAATAAAGAGGCCCAGTATAGCAAAGATAATTCTGTAAAATGTAAATAAGGATGATTTTAGTAGCAAAAAAATTTTAAAAACCCGAATGTCTATTAGTAAGAGAATGGATAAATAAATTGTGGTATATTTGTGTGATGGAATAAAATGCAGGACTTAGAATGAATAAATGAGATTCCACACTTATTGTTATGGACAGATCTCAAAAATAAAATGTTGAATGAGAAAGATATCTCCCAGGACCACACATTTCCATGTAAAAACTGCCAATGAAACAATAAATTATTTAAGAATATATATGGGTAATAAACATGTCAAAACGAAGGTTCTTGTCTCTGGTGAGCAGGGAGAGCTTGGGGCCGGTAACAGAGGGGACTTTAACTTGGTCCCTGAAATGTTTTATATAAAAAAATCTGAGCCCCAAATGGCAAAATGTTTACAATTGTTCATTCACTTGGTAGATAGATGGGTGCTTGGTATACTATTCTTTATATTTTCCTGTATTTTTAAAACTTAAAAAGAGAGAAGGAAAAGGAAGAGAGGACACGGAGAGCCCAAAGGCGCTCTGTAATAACTAGGATTCTCGCAGCACCTGGGGAGAGCAGTGGTCAAGGCTCCCTTCCCTAAGAAGTCAGTCTTCTTGATTTTCATGGGACTTGCACATCCCCCAGAGTGCACTTTCTTAAGGCCACTCCCAAAAGCCCCCGGGAAGCGTGTGGAGAGAAGCAAGCCCGACCTTGCCAGCGCCTTACTGTGTTCAGCTCCGATTCCAAGCTGCAGTTTTCAATTTGTGGGAACACCTTGCTGTATTTGCTTGGGTAGGTGGACTCTAGGTAGTCCTTCACCTGCTCCAGGTTGCTGACTGTCAAAAAGCCATCTTCAAGGTCGAAGGAATTGGTCAGCAGCAGAATCACCCTGCAGAGCAGAGCATCAGATTGACCTTTACTGATGAGAAGGGACGCCATCGCCACACCCTCTTGGAAGCTTGGGCTCCCCTCTGCCTCTTCTTTACTGGTCAGGTGAGGTCGCTCAAAGGGAATCTGTCGATTGGTGACCGTTTAGAGGTCAGGGTGATTTTGAATGGCTTTGAAGAAGCCTCAGACAGAAACAGAGATGACAAAGGAATCAAACCCACACAGCAAGGTTAAAAAAACCTCTGGACCAGCATTGTGCGATAGAACGTTTGTGATGATGGAAATGTTCCACATCTGTGCTGTCCAATATGGTACCCACTAGCCACATGTGGCAACTGAGCACTCAAACGTGGCTAGTGCAACTGAGGAACTGATTTAAATGAATTTATATTAAAATGAAAATCAACTTAAATAAAAATTTAAATTAATTTTAATAAAATTTTAATTAATTTACATTTAAATGTGTAAATAGCCCCTTGTGACTAGCGACTACTCTGTTGGACAGTGTGCATTCGGATGATGTTTCTCGTATTTTGGGAAAGTAGATTCTGTAACCTCCATGCTCAGCTGGAGAGCTCTTGGTTACTGCTGAGGTGGGGAGATGGGACAGGAGAAACTAAGATTTGTTTGCTGAGTGCCCTATTGTGCTAAGTGCTTTGAATACATCACTTCAGGCAGACGCTGACTTGCCACAGGCCCGTCAGCTACTGGTGGTGTTGGAGGTAGCCCGAATTTGAACCCTGGATTGAGGGCTGCAAAGCTGGTGCCCTTTGCCCCAGAGTCCTTGACTTCTGGGTGTCCATCTCTTCTCAGTGCCCCCTTTAGCTTGGAGCTTCGGAGACTCACCTCCCCCCTGAGGCCTGGGGCTCACTGGGGCGACCCAGTCTTACTTGTTCAAGCAGTCTTCATAGTTGAAAGTGGCCTTGAAGCCGTAGATGGAGAAGGTCACGATGCTGGCAAATATGGAGGTGAAGCTGTTGATGAGGGACACGATGATGGCATGCTTTTGGCAGTTGTTGGAGGGCTCATTATAGCTGGCGAAGGCGATTAGGGTGCCAAACCCCAGGCCCAGCGAGAAGAAGATCTGGGTGGCTGCGTTGATCCAGGCCCTGGGGTTGGCCAGCTGCTCCATCTGGATAGCAGGGATAGGGCTGATGAACCCCAGGCGTGAATCCCACACTCTCAGGCCAGCAGGGGGCGAAGGCCCAGGGAGGGGAAGGCCTTGCCCATGGTACACAGCCAGCCAGATGCAGGCCTGGGGCTGGAGCGCAGCTCTCCTGGCCCCTGGCCGGTGCCCGTCCATCCCCCAGCAGATGAAACACACGCATTCCTCATGTCACATCCTCCGCAGCTCCTTACCCATAGGAGGTGTGCAATTGAAAATTGTAGGGTAAAAGAATTTTAAAAGGTACTGGGCCCCTGATCCATGACCCAGGCACTGCACCAGTCTGGGCCTCCAGAGATGGAGGTGGTGTGGCCTGGTGGTGGAGGTCTCAGTCTGGGCTGAACCCCAGCACTGACATTAGGAGGCATTTAGAATGTCGTTGTGGGGGGGCGGCATTTGGGGGAGGCTGCCACAGTCATTTTGTTTCTAGGGGCCAGATTTGCTAAATGGAGAACTTGTCCTGTCCCGAAGGCAATAGTGCCCCCCACACCCCCCAGTGATGAGTATTGGCTGTGGGGAGCCTGAGGAGTGGGTGGGCTGGGGAGGGATCATGGAAAATCCTGTGGAGTGTGGATCTGCCCCTGTAGGGAGAGGGGTGCAGGAGGCTGAGATGCCTGGAGTGATGCTCACGGCGAATAACTTAGTCCACAGGCTGGAAGGAGGGGTGGGGCGAGACGGGGGACAGGAGGCTAGACGTGGGGCTGGGGCAGCGGTCGGCTGGGGGCAGTGAGGACGAGGAGGAGAGGTGGACAAAAGACTTACTGCCCCAGAATTAACAGGGCTTGGGGACAGCCGGTCTGAGGAGGCGACCCAGTATCCACAGGTAATCCACAACCCTCCCACAGCCTGCTGGGGTCACACCAAACTCCGTGGGTACAACACAGCTTTCACCCACCCTCCATCTTCCCCTCTTTCCACGCATCCTGGAAGGTGGCCGGATGGATGGGGGTGCCCTCAGGGCCCCCTTCCTTCCAGCCTGTACCTTGGGAGTGAACATGTACGCCAGGCCATTGGTGGCTCCATGGAGTGTGAGGCCCCGGACCAGGTAGATGAGGAGCACGCAGTAGGGCAGGGACGCAGTGAAATACACCACCTGCGGGCACCAGAGGGCAGAGTCAGCCTCCTGGAGATATGGGGACCACAGGGCCCTTTTGCCCAGGACAGACCAGCTGTCCCTATGAAACACCACACTGTCTTGGGTGTTCAAGCTACTGAAAGCTGAAAAAGGCACTGGAATTCATGGTCAGATGCAGGTTCTCAGTGTGAGCTGAGGGGTGCGGGTGGGGTGAGGGGATGCAGCTGCCAGGTCTGTAACCACCAGGAAATCTCTGAGTCAGTAGAGAAGAGGGAAACAGGTGTGAGGCCTCTGCCCTCCATCTTCCCTTCACCCAACCCTATTCCAGAAAGGATCGGAGGCAGCCCACAAAAATATATCTATCACATTAACATTTTTTAATTGCTAGAGAAGAAATCAGTGCAAGAAGAAAATGTGGGCAATACAGTAAGATGAGCCCGAAGGAAAAGGCAGCCCACAGAATATGTGTATGAGGTTCTATCCAGTTTCTGAGCCAGATTCCTCTCTGAGCTTCCTAGTGGCCCAAGCAAAGCAGGAAGCACAATCACTTACAAGATTTATATTATCTTTAAAAGGAAAAAAATTCGGGGCCTGGGAGGAAGGACAGATCTCCCAGGACTGGGGTCTGAGAGAAGCTTGGCCATGAGTGCTCGTAAAGGAAAAGAAGTGACATTTGATGTCGGGGACAATGTCCCTATAATACATACAATAGAAATTCAATGATGTGACTTTTATGAAAGGCCTCACTTCCATGGGCTTTAAAACCACACAGAAATGGAATTTTTTGTCAACTGAATCTTATTTTCCTGCTGATGCATCTCAAGTTCAATGATGTCTTATCTTTGGTTTTCAGGGTGGTTCAGCAGTAGTCTCTTATATTCTGAGTAATTCTAATTTTCACAAAGCCTTAGAATAGAGACTTAAAGTGCACGTATGGCCATGCAGGACTGGAATGTTTTCTGTATATCAACTCATATGTTCACCAGAGCGTCTTATGTAAAGCAAAGAAATGCTTTGCAAGATTTACTGTTGCGAGATTAGTTCCTTTAAAGTTTGGGTCCTCCTGTGAGAAATACAGCTGGTGACTCATGTCCAGATGGACCTGAATTGCACACGGCCCTCCATACTCGCTGAGGCGTGGCACCATCTTCCCATGAATTTCCAAGGCCACCAGAGTGGCATGGTGCTCTGTGCCCTCTCACCCTGGGAAGAACAGGCAGAGGTGGGGGTGTGTCTTTTATCATTGATTCTTAATTGAGGTCATGGTAACTTGATAAGAGTTATAAATCCACCCAAGATTACAAAACAATAAACCAGGTTCAAGATGGAGATGGACAAGTGGAAAGAGAGGGCATCAGGACAGTGAGTTGAAGGAAATCAAAGGACAACAGGGGAGGGTGACCAATGTCCATAACCAGAGGACACTTAGGGAAAGCCCTTGGAATCTCCCTCCTTCCTTGTGGGTGACCATGTTTCCCAGAGGCTCTCTCGAGTCTCAACCAGGGTCCCTCCTTCCCCATCAGGGAAGCTGGAACGATGGCTGGACACACGATCCAGCCTAAACCCTTGGGAGAAACCATTTCTCATCAATCTACAAAAACTCTTGGAGGACAAAAAAGAGATTCCAACAGAGGAGGCCAGGAAACGGCACACAGTCTGTAACAAAATTAATCCCCATAAATAATGCTGTTGGGGCACTTCTATCATGCAGATGGGTGTGGCTTCGGCAGAGGAAATAAAGAACAGATAAGTTTTCCTGGCGTGACTTCATCTAACACACATATAAATGATCTGGAAAAGAGACGGCCTTGTTAAATCTCCAAGTTTGCAGATGTTGCCCTCAGATCTTTGGGATCATGGTCATAATAATCTGGCAAAGACAAATTGCAAAAACCTTTTATATGAGCACAAAATATCAGCCAAGCTTCAAGATGGGACAGAGTGAGTTGCTGCAGGCTCTAAGCTCCCCTGGGAAAGATTCACTGGCTCTCAGCTTGGCTGTGGGATGGGTGCTTTCGGGGCTAAGATGCTGGCCATCACGGTGTCTTGGAAACCAAAAGAAAACATCCTACCAGGCATGGTACTGGAGTCGTCACAGGGTACCTAAAATACCGTGGGTAGTTCTGGTCTTGATGCCTCAAGAAAAACATGGTGGGGCTGGAGGACACAACTCAGGTGGTCAGGAGGGTGAGGACAGGTGGACTGTTAGGACCTCAGAAGGGAAAAGTTGGGATTAATTAAATCATGGAAAGTGTGGCGAGAGCCAACAGAAGGTGGCTCACCAAACCAAGACAATAGGGAGTCTTTGGGGCAAAGCTGGGTCTGCCCAGCTTTGCTCTCACAGTTTGTGCCCTCGGGCAGGTCACTTTACCTCTCAAAGCCTCAGGTGAGTGGGACAATGAAATCTACCATGAAGGGCTGTCGCAGGATTGAGACAATGTGCGTGCCCAACCCATGGTGGATCTGCCATGAGGAGTGACTGAGTATGAGGTGGGGCCTGCCAGCGGTCTGGGGCATCTGCTGAAGCTTGAGGAAGATGGCAGGTGATGGAAACACTCCAAGAAAACCGTCTACATGGAGCAGATTAGAGTGAAAGGAACATCTCAGCTCTAGCAGGAGTATAAACCTGGGGAATCGGGCCCAAAAGCTCTGCATTGAAAGCAGCTTAGAGCAGAGGTTCTCAAACGTGGCTGCAGATTAGAATCACCTGGGGAGCTTTTACAATCCCATTGCTCAGGGTGCACCCCACACTGATTACTCTAGAACCTTTGAGGTAGGACTGAGACATCAGAGTTTTAAAAGCTCTCCAGGTGATATCAATGTGCAGCTAAGTTTGAAGGCCAGTGGCTAGGGTGTCTCAGGGACATCTGCAATCATGTAAGTTTAAAGAAGGGAAAACTCACTCTCTAGTTGCTTGGTGCCACTTGGACAGTATGGATTTGGGGCTGGCTGGTACAGAAATGCGCATCCTTTTAGGTAGTGGGAAAGTACTAGTTTCGAGATTTAGGGTTGCAACTTCAAGCCCCGCCATCTTTAGAGTTGACTGCAGAAGGCAACCTCTTGCCATTGTCCAGAGCAGGGCAGAGGCGGCTGCCCACCCTTCCCCCCCACCCGGAGCACCAGCCCCATGCTTTGCCGTCCCACCTTGCCGGTTGACTCAGTGCCCCGCAGGATGCACAGGTACACCATGAGCCAGGCCAGGATGAGGCACAGTGCAGGCTCCCACTGCACACTCCCATTCTCCTGGATGGATGGTGAGATGTTGAGGGTTTTCCTGTACCAGAAGTACTGCGTCGAGGAAGCCTTCTCACACTCCTCATCGTAGCCCGTGCGGTTGCCATTCAGTGGGCAGACAGACCATGGCAGGGGATCCTTTGGGATCAAAACAAGCATTATACAGAGAGGTGAGGGCTGAGACCTAGGGTTGGGGTGGGGAGGATGGGAGGTGGCTCTGATATGGGGTTCATGGAAGAGAAGGGCACTGGTCCCCAAAGGGTAGGTGGCCAGAGCACCTGAAGGTAGACAGGGAATTCCAGGGTTTGTCAAGGGCACAGATGGGGTTTGGGAACAGGAGGGAGGCAGGGAGGGGAGAGGAGCATGAGGACGGGATTCCACACTTCTTGCCACCTTACAGGAATTTTTTGAAGACTACTGAACTCTGTTGTGGGTCTGAGAGACTGAATCAAACAGACAATGGCCAGAGCATCTATGCAATGGAACTCTGACCCACAACCTCTGCAGCAACCAGCCCAGGGACTCAAACCACAGTGTCTGCAGTAATCGGCCCAGAACGGTCAGGACTTGATCACTGACTGCCAGCTTCCCCAACTTGTGTTCCCTCCAACTGGGGACCAACCATAGAAAGCCAAACATACTCCCCTAATCACCTAATCAGTCACATAGATAGCCCACCTGTAGCTTCCCCATGCCCACAGCCTCCAACCAGGGCACGCCTGAAGCCTTCCCTTCTTCCACTAACATGCTTTCCCACTGCTCTGCCTGCCTGACTCGCTCGCTATAGCAGCTCTGAATAAACGCCTCTCCTTGTTCTCACCGGGTGGTCTGTTTATTTCCACAAGTCCCTAGCAAGTCCTGGCGTGGATAAGACTTGGGTCCAGCCCTCACTATAGCTGGTGGTGGAATCAGTGGTCAGGCTGGGGTCCCACATCTGCATCTGTAATGGCTCCAGGGCTCCTGCTGGGAAAGGCTGGACATGAGGCTGGAAAGCCTGAAGGCCTGAGTCACAGCTGCTTGGCTGCCCTCTGCCTCAGGTCCTCAGTGCTCTCAGCCTCACAGGGTCGTGGTGACGATTACGTGAGTGAATACTTCTAAAGTGCTCGCTACTCTGCCTGGCCCAGAGCAAGTGTAAGTGACTGTCTGCTGCTGCTGTTACTATGTGACCATGGAGGAGGCTCCAAAGCAAGGGACTAAGGGAGAAGTTCGTGGACTGTGAAGGATAGAATGAATGAATGGCCAAGTGATTTTCAGGAATTGCTGGCCCTCATACTCCTGAGGGTTAAAAAAAGGTGCACCCTTTCTTGAGACACTTTATTTTGACCTTTGAAAGATGGTCAAATTATTCTGATTTTGTTAGAATAGGACATGTTGCTTCCACCTTTGGAAAACTGTCTTAATAAGAATACAGATCTATAATGCCTGCAACGTGTATGGTAACCCCTTAGTTGGAGTGGCGTTGTGCAGTGCACAACCTGCCCAACTATACATGACAGCCCTGAACAGAGGACGGGAAATGATCACCAGGCTGGAGAGTAAGAGGAGCTGCCCTGTTTCTACTCAGAAGGCGGAAGAGAGGCAGGATTTTGGCCAGTCTTCATGGAACTCTAGGCTGAGCCAGGGAGAGGATGAGGGGAGGCAGCTAAGCTCAGGGCAGAGAGTCTTTCCTGTCAGGGATGTACACAGGGCAGTTTCCAATGGGGCGACCTGGGCAGAGCTGACTGGGGAGCCAGAGTAGGGTGTAGCACCTTCCCAGTGTAGACACCAAGTCCTGGTTATTGAAGTCATTCCCCCAGCCATTCTGGGGGCCCCAAAGACTCAAGGCTGTGCCCCAGTGCTCCAGAGAGTGACCCCACAAGTTGGGGTTAGTCCACAGTGCGTGGCCAGCCCTGCCTGGCTTTCGTCCTGTGAAGGGTGCAAAGGGTGAGACATCTGCCCAGTTCGCTCCCGTCTCCCCCTCCTCTTTTCCCATCTGGGAAGAGGCTGAGATGGAGGAGGTTGCTGGAAGGCAAGTGGGGGCAGTGGGGTGGGGTCCCTGAGAGTGAACGGCAGGGGCCGAGGGCAAGAAATGAACGTGGGCAGTGGAGGGGAATTTCCTCTTGGCCTGGATGCAAAGACCACCTCCCGGTGAGGAATTAGGGCTCGCTCTTCTCCACAATTCTCAGCCCTTCCACATTTTCTACAACGAGCGTCAGCTAAGGTTATAATCAGAAACACATGTTTAAAATGTTTCTCTTTGGGAATAGCCCCTACTGAGTTACAGGGGTGACAGCGGGCCTTCTGGGAGGACTCTTGGTCTGCAGGGAAGAGGAGAGGCTCGGCCTGGAGTTAGAAACTTGGAAGGACAGGTGACGGGAGGCAGGAGGGGGAGGAGGGAGGCCGGCGCTGTATTGTGGGTTGGTGGAATCCCTCCTCATGGGGTCTCTCCACAGATTTCCCCCTGGGCCCACTCTGCAGTGGTTCTTAATATTTTGGAGGTCACATCCTCCAGAGAGAACCCGATGAAAGCCGTGCACTGCTCCCTAGAAACATGCACATGCACGTGCACAATCTGGCTTACGCCTGCAGGGGTCCACGGAGCCCAGGTTCAGAAGCTCTCCATTGGTTTGGGTGCTCAGCGCCGCCCCCAGCCCTCACACCACTTCCTGGCTCCCCAGGGGCTGCTGCCCTCAACCTCCACACTTTCCCGGAGGGCGGCCCCTCCCGGCTGTCCCCCGTGGGAAGCCCTGCTCCCCTCTCCCTTTCCAGCTCGGGCTCTGGCGCAGTCTCCGCTCACCTGGAAGGAGTGGAAGAGGTACCAGAAGCCCCAGGCGTTGATGACGTTGTAGTACATGGACAGGAAGAAGGAGACCACCACGCTGGAGATGCCTGCGAGGAGGCAGAGGGCAGGCTGAGGACGGCCCTTCCCCGCCCGCCTGGACGAGGCCGTGGTGGCCCCGTCAGTGCGCACCCCCAGGTCACGCCTGTGGTGACTGCCCTGGGATGGCAAAACCTCCGTCAGCAGGTTTGTGAGATGGTGAACCGTGACCAGGCACCTGCGAGCACCCTCTAAGGGTTAGTCTCTTCCCCCCTGCCCCCTCCCATCTTCTGGGACAGGAGGCTGATGACATGTGTTTGAGATCTGGTGCCAGCTGCTGTACTAAGTACTTGATGTGCCTCAGGTCCTCACAAAAATGTTGCGAAGTGGGCGTTATTATCCCCATTTCACAGAGGAGAAAACCAAGGCACCGAGCTTGCCCAGACCACCCAGCTGTTAAGTGGCAGAACTAGGGTTCAGACCTAGTGTGAGAAGCACTTTGTCCCTGCCAAGTGCCACCCTGATACCAGACATTACCATTGCCCCCTCCTTGGCTCACTACCTGAAGTTGGGTTACTCGGACCAAACCTGCCCCATGGTGGCAGGGAGCAGGGGTGTAGGAGTGGAGGGGACAGGGGCTGCCCCACCTGGTCAGGCCTGTGGGGAACTGGGGTAGGGGCCCACAGAGCAGAGGGAGGGGTGGCAACCAGGGGTGTTCTACAGCCGGCCCACTCTGGTCCCCCAGAGCCATTGTGCGCCTCTCTGTCCAACCCCACAGTCTGGGACATCCGTTCGTAGTTTGAAATTGGCCATGGTGGGAATATTTACACTGCCAGGATCAGTAAATGCTACAGCCAGGCCAACCACCTTGAAAGCCAGTGGTTAAACATTCACAGCACCCCTGATTGGCACAAACATCTGGTATCTTTCCTATTACGCAGCAAATGCTGCCTCAGAGAAGCCCTCTGTGATTGCTTACTTGGGCAGATTGTAAAACCACACTCTAAGTTAAAAAGTAACAGCCATTCAAGATGAGGAGGCAGTTCAGGTTTGGAGATGATTTCTGAGGCCACTGGGTACATGTCTTCTGCATCTGAGACTGTCATGTCCAAGTTGACGCCCTCCTTGCTCCTGAAATGTCACTCTGCTTTCCTGCCTGCCTTCTTTTCTGGGGGCGGGAGGGATGAGCATTGCTGGTCAAGGTTCCTCCTGCCGGGGAGACAGCCCTGGAACAGGAGGGCTGTGCAGGGCAGGTTAACCATCTCCCGGGCACTGGCGTGAAGGGACTCAGGGGAGGCCGGATGTCAGGCAGCGCCCTCTGACAGCCACGAGTGCCTCTGCTTCCCGACCCTGGAAATGTTAATGCTCCCCCACCCCCAGCCTCCCAGTGGTGTGAAGATGAAATGAGCTCATGCACATCCATTGTACAGGCTAGCACCTGGCACATAGTGGGTGCTCACTACAGAGAGAGATGTTCTTCTTAATACTTAGCAGGGAGCAGTTACACGATTCCCAGAGGGTTGCTAGCTGCGACACTGAGTTATTGCTGGGCAGCATTTCCCTTTCACAGATGAGCAAACTGAGGCCCAGAGAAGAGAAGCAATGTGCTATCAGTTCCCCAGGGGGTGTGCATCCTCCCTTTCTCACTGCCCTGTAGGTAAGAAGCCCAGCCCCTCTCGGCCCACATTCCATGGCACCCCTCCTGGGCCGTCAGTCCACCCCAGTTAAGGGCTCTCTCTTGGGCTTCATGCTTGCCCCTCGCTCCAGCAGCTTTGCCAATGGAGTCTCACCCCACCCCGTGCTGCCCAGGATACAGTATGGGGGTCTCCAGGAGGGAGAGGGTGGGGGAGGGTCCACATACCGACACCACTGAGGTAGGGGCTGATGGTCCTCCAGGCGCCAATGCTGCCCTGCCGCATGCGCTGCCCCACCGCCAGTTCCAGGTACAGGAGGGGCATTCCCTCCACGATGAGCATGATGATGTAGGGCACCAGGAAACTACCTGTGGGCGTCCAGAGCCAAGACCAGGCCATCACCGACGGGCTTTACTCTGTAATCCACCCAACCTCTGTGCAAGCATCCTTCCATCCGCCCTCCTTTCCTTCCTTCTGTCTTCCATTGTCCATTCATTCTTCTACCTTTCCACTCATCCATCCTTCTGCCTTCTCACTCTCCACCTCTCCACATATCTTTCTGTCATTTCTCTCATCCATCTGTCATTCCTGCATCCGTTTTCTTCCACCCATCCACCCACCAATCCATCCTCCATCCTTCCTTCTATTCTTTTCCCTTTCCCTCATACATCCCTTCTCCATCCTTCCACTCATCCACTCTCCTTCCTTCCTTCCTTCCTTCCTTTCTTCCTTCTTTCCTTCCTTCCTTCCTTCTTTCTATCTTTCTACTCATCCATCTATCTGTCTGTTCGTCCAATCATCTATGGATGGATGACATGTAGCCATGTCAGCTAAAATCTATAAATACTTCCATCCTGGGTGATAAATTGCCACTGTCTGAAGTCCCTTGAGTGCCTTCCTCAATGCCTCAGCTGCCCCAGCGCCTCTGTCAGAAACCCCATTCCACCTTCTATCGTAGCAACTAATGGTTGATCAGAGCCAGGACCACTGAGTTGTTAAATCTTTTGAACATCACCCCTGAATCCATCCACCCAGCTCCATACACTTGCTTTGGGCATTTTGCACAGCCCTGATGGTGCCCCACAGGAGGCAGCATGCTAACCAAACCTGCTCAGCACTTCCTCTGAGCCTGCCGGGAGCTGGGTGTGGGATGGATGGGAGAACAGCAGCCCTGCTCCCTGCCCCGAGGGGTCACCTGGTCAGAGGAAGCTTAGCTGCCTCCTAATTCTCCAGGGCCACAGAATACTCCTCCAGGTCGCATATCTTCTGAGATGAGGCAGGGGCTGGGTGTGTATGTGTGGGGAGACAAGGGGGTCCCTAACAGACAGAGCCCAGGCCACCACCTCCTTTTACAGAGCACCTCTGTGCATATATCTGTTTTATACAGTGGCCTTCAGCCTAAAATTTCATTTTAATAAACTGTACTATGACAAATAAAATTTTAAACCCATGCATTCCCAAGGAGCCATCTGCAGACAAGTGCCCTTTGTGGTAGTGGGAGCCAGGGAGTGTGAATGGAACTACGGAGCCCTCCTCTGCCACTGCCAGACACACGGACAGAGGCAGACAGCCTGCTGCGGGGCCACCTGCCACATCTGCCCCTGCAGACGGCTGCCCCTCTGCCTCTCCTGTGGGTCCAGCCCTCCTTCTCCACCCCACCTCAGCCATCCCCTGCCTAGCTCCTGGCTCTTTGGCAGTGGACCTGAAAAAAGGTCCAGTAGGAGAAGAGGGCAGGACTTCTGATTAAAATAAAACCCTGACACTCCAGGTGCAGGGATTAAGGGCTGGTCACAGAAAGAACTGGCTGTGAAAGTGTTAAGGTAAACAATGAAATATACATGCTTACGTAAACATCTAATATTTACAAAAACACCTTCGTTGTAGCTACGTGCTGTCCTATGACCCACTCTCCTCCCCAGCGGGCTCTCACAGGCAGTCTCCCGACCACACCAGCACCTTTGCGTCACCCCTTACGTAGCTGCACAACATCCCTCTGGGACAATGAGCCCGGAGTTCATTTCATCAGTCCCTGGACACTTAGGCTGTTGACAATTTTCTGCCATCCTAAATAAAGCTGTGCGGCAAAGCCTGTCCACGTGCTCGGTTATCTCCTCAGGATGGAAAGCCCAGACGTAGAATGGCTGGCCCCGAGACCAAGCACAGCCCCCATGGGCTCTCTCACCACGGAGAGAAAGGCACGAGCTGTGCACCCGGGAGAGCGGACCCACACCACCCGGCCTCTGCATTCCCAGCGTCGTCCCCCCTGCTCGTGTCAGGCCTACAAATCCTGCTCTCATTTCTGGACTCTGCTTTGAAGGCTCTGCCAGGCCCTGCTCCCTCCCTGCCCTGCAGAAACGTGTTCCAGCATCTTACCAGGTTCCGCTCAATAGCAAGGAGCCCAAGAGGCAGGCAGGGGCTCTCACCCACCGTACACCTAACAACAAAGGTCGTGTTGGCACGACCTCCTTGGAGTAACATGCAAACCCTCAGTGGTTATAAGAAAAGCTCATTTTCTCCCAAGGTGTTAAACAGTAACCCCACGAGGCCTGGCAAGGTCCATGGAAGGCTTTTCTCTTTGATGGGGCCTGCCTGATGGCCCACTGCCCATGGGAAGGCTGGGAGCCCAGGCCTGGTGCCCAGCTGGGTATCCCTCGGTGATTTCTATTACCCCTCCTGCCCCCTCAGCCATCAAAACACACACACACAATCCTAGTGAATTTTCTCTGCAATCATTTTCTCAACTAGAGAAATGAACCTCAACCCATATCTCACGTTTTATACCAAAAAACATCTCAAAATGGACTATAGACCTAGATGTACCACTCAAAACTATAAAACCTCTAGAAGAAAACACAGGAGAAAATCTTTCTGACTTTAGATTAGGCACAGATTTCCTGGATACATTAAAACACTATCTGTGAAAGAAAATATTGATAAATTGGACTTCATTTTAAAATTGTGCTCTGTGAAAGATACCATTAGCAGAAAAAAAACAGTGAGCTACAGACTGGGAGAAAATATTTGCAAAACATGTATCTGACAAAGACTTTGTATCTAGAACATATAAAGGATTCTCAAAACTCAATAATGAGAAAACAAAGACTCCATTCAAAAAGTCTACAAAAAATTTGGACATTTCACTAAAGAAAATACATGAATGGAAAATTAGCACATGAAAAGATGCTCAACATCAGTGTTCATTAGGAAAATGCAAATTTAAACCACGACGAGACACCACTACACACCTATTAGAATGGCTAAAATAAGAAACGCTGACGATACCAAGTGCTGACGAGGATTTGGAGGGAGTCTCATACATTGCTAGTGGAAATGTAAAATAGTGCAGCCACTCTGCAAAACAGTTTGGCAGTTTCTTATAAAGCTAAGTATATACTTACTGTATGACCCAGCAATTGTACTCCTGGGTATTTACACTAGAGAAATGAAAACTTATGTTCACACAAAAACCTACACACAAATGTTTATAGTGGCTCTATTCACAGTTGTCAAAAACTAGACAATTAGCCTAGTTATCCTAACTGTCCTTCAATGTGTGAATGGACAAATAAATTCTGGTACATCCATACAATGGAATATTACTTGGCCAATAAAAGGGAACAAGCTGCTGGTTCATGCGACATGGGAGAATCTCAAAAGCAATATGCTTAATGAAAGATGCCAGATTCAAAAGGCTACATACTGTATGATTCCACTCATATGACATTCTGGAAAAGGCAAACAGAAAACAGATCTGTGGTTGCCAGGGGCTGGGAGTGAGGAGAGGCTGACCACAGGGGCATGATTGTGGTGGTGGTAACACAACTGCATGCATGTGTCAAAATTCAGAGAACTGTATGCCAAAAAAAGTGAATTTTTCTGCATGTAAATATACCTCAATAAAAAAAATTTGCTTTGTGATCAGTTTGAAAACAAGTCCACTAACCAACCCTCTTCCAAATGGACTCTTCCCCATGCTCCTTTTATGTAAAAATTCTGACACTGGCTCTGCATGGGGACCTGACATCAGGGAGAGGCAGACAGAGGCCTGAAAAATGGTGCCTTTGCTCCCATGTATCTTGATGGGCTGGTGGTCTAGTGATTAAGATTCAGCGCTCTCACCACCATGGCTCATGTTCGTTTCCCAGTCAGGGAACCACACCACCTGTCTGTTGATTGTCACACTGTGGCGGCTGCATGTTGCTGTGATGCTGGAAGCTATGTCAATGGTATTTCAAATACCAGCAGGGTCACCCATGGTGGACAGGTTTCAGTGGAGCTTCCAGACTAAGATAGACTAGGAAGAAGGATCTGGCCACCCACTTGGGAAAAAAATGGCCATGAAACCCCTATGAATAGCAGTGGAGCGTTGTCTGACACGGCACCGGAAGGTGAGAGGATGGTGCAAAAAGACGGGGCAGGGTCCCGCTCTGCTGTACATAGGGTCGCTGGGAGTCGGAATCGATTTGATAGCACTAACAACAAATCTTGATGGGCACACGGTGGGAAATTAAATACTGTCACACGGTCTTTGCTGCTGCTCGTGTGAAGGGTGGAGTCTATTTCCCCACCCACAAATCTGGGCTGGCCCTCGGACTTGCTGTGTCCAATAGCATGTGGGAGGAGAACCACCAGGGTGGTTCTAGAGCCCTGGCCTCAGGACGCCTTGCAGCTTCACCCTCATCCTCTTGGAGTGCGGCCCTGAGACCACCTTGTATGGAAGCCAGTCCAGGCCACCTGAGGGTGAAAGGCCACGTGGAGGAGAACCGAGGCCCAGCCAACTCAGCACCAGCTCCCAACGTGTGAGTCCTCCAGCGCAGCCCACCCATGCGTGAATGCAACCAGGCCTGATGAGAACCATAGAGAAACGCCCAGCCACCCACAAAACTGTGAGAAATAATTAATTGTTTTAGCCACTGCTTTTTCTTTTTCTTTTTATCTCTCAATACTTCACTGTGTATTTCCTAAAAAGAAAGACATTCACTTATATAATCCTAGTGCAATGAGCAAAATCAGGAAATTCACACTGATACAGTACTATTATCTTATCTACAGATCTTCACGGAATTTTACCAATGATTCCACTAACGTCCTTTGTCTGGTCTCAGATCCAGCTCGTAATCACGCATGGCATCTAACTGTCACGTCTCCTTAGTCTCCTTTGATCTGGGACAGCTCCACAGTCTTTCTCTGTCTTTTGTGACCTTGACACGTTGGTGAGCACTAGCCAGTTATTTTGTGAAATGTCCTCGTTTGAAGTTTGGCAGGGACACTAGAGTGACCCGGGTCTTTGTCCAGAGGCTCGTGGCGTCGATTTGCCCCGTTCATGGCAATGGTAACTTTGTTCACTTGGTTAAGGTGGGGTCCACCA